CCCAGGCTGATATCCATCAGTGCAGAGAGGGAAGTGAGCTGTGATTGCCAGGCCTATTTATGGTCCTTGGTTATTTCATACATCCAGGCAGAGTTCCTCTGGGCAACGTCTACGGATTCCTTTGCAGAGTGTCTGAGTCGGTCTGCTCAGGATCGCCTCATTTAGACCCTGCAACCTACCCCTCCGTCCCTTGTTTCTTCTTTTACCGTGCCCCATAGCACTGGCGCTGACTTTTATTTTTCCCGGTGGGTGCTCCACCCCCACTAGGCCTCTTCTCCCAAGACCCCACCCTCTCTCTGCCACTTCCTGCCCCCACTCTGCCCCCCCTTGCAAGGCCCCTGCCAGCTGCTCTCTGCCAAATGCCTCCTGCCAGCCGCCAAACAGCTGATCAGCAGCCCCGCCGAAAGGCTGTAGCTGGTGGGTGTTGAGCACTCCCTGTTTTTTTTCCATGGATGCTTGAGCCCCAGAGCACCCATGGCGTTGGTGCCTATGCCCCATAACGTGACGGGTGGTTGGATTCATGGCCACTCCCTTGTCGGAGGAGGTGGGCCTGTCCCTGTGTGGGTTAGCGCAGCTCACACAGGATTCAAATAGATGGGCACCTGTGGGTCACTAATAACAGAGCTGAAATTATGGTCCCCCTTGGTGATTCTCTACCCCATCTTCCTTCCCCATAGAAAGCTGCTTCATGCAGCAGAAGCTAGAGGGTCCCATCACCCTGAACAAACGAATAGAGGAAGCCTGTGAACCTGGAGTGGATTATGGTAAATCTGTGATTTGGATCTGCGGAGTCTTTCTCCACGAGGAGAGCGCAGAGACAGGGTTCGGAATTCGATTTGGATTGTAAAGTTTGCCTTTGGGGCTGAATCAGGGGTAAGGTCTGGATCTGCTGGGGCAGAAACCTGATGAGATTTTGGGGCCTTAAACTCCCAGAAATGAACAAGATCAGATGACTGTTTAAGATTCAGTCTAGCCCTAAGTATTTTTCTGCCCCCCATTTCCCTAGTATCTGAGCACTTCACAGCCTTTAACGTGTTTGTCCTCACAACCTCCTGTGAGGCAGGGCAGTGCTATTATCCCCATTGTACAAAAGGGGAAACAGAGGCATGGAACGACTAAGTGACTTTCCCAAGGTCACGCAGCAAGTCTGTGGTGGAGCAGAGAAATGAACCCCGGTCTCCAGCTATTGCCATTATCATGGGACCATCTTTCTCACAGCCAGTTTGGGGAGTCAGTTACACACTGAATTCTCTACAGAAAAATACTGCAGACCTTCAACTGGTGTTTTGTATATCTTCCTTTTTTTTAAGTGTATAAAACCAGGCTTGTTAGCAGTGAAGAAGTGGGCGGTTCTGACTACTACACCATGGAAATATTGGAAATCATTAAAGCAGGTAAGAGCTCCCCTTCTGCAATCAGGTGCAATTTCTTTGAATGGCCTTTGGGATAAAGGCCGGCATAAGAGCTATTTCTCTTAGCCAGAGGAAATGCTAAAGCCAGGCTAATCTAGTTTCATGCTCCAGGGCATTAACCTCTCGCCACAAGGGGACAAGAAAGAATTTGCTCAACCCACCGAGGCAGCCATGCCACGAAGAGGCAGACAAAATAACAGGGGGGAACCTCTCCCTGTGGTCAGCCTGGCACAATTGACCAGTCTCATTATGGGCTTTTTCAACCTTCCTCTGAAGCAATTGGCATTGGCCATTGTGGGAGTCAAGATCCCAGACTTGGTGGCCCTTTGGCCTAAACTGCTATAGGGGAGGTGGAGTCTCTCTTCCTCAATGCTGAGTTTTATAAATCGATATAAAGGCAAAGTAAGTAGGGATCTAACTGAGCTCAAAGCGGCTTCACTCACTGGGAGCTGATATGACTGGTCTAATTATCTGTATTACCTGAGATTAGGGGCCCCTTGTGCTAAGCACTGGACATACCCAGATACAACCCCTGCCTTGACGAGGTTACAATCTAAATCAACACTGGGTGGATTTATTAGCCCCATTTCACAGGTGGGGAATTGAGTCACAGGGAGATCGAGTGACTTGTGCAGGGTCACACCAGGAGTCTGTGGCAGAAACAGGAGCTGAGGCCTGAACTCTTCAGGCCCAGCCCGGTGCCGCAACCACAAGACGGTCCTTCCTGTCTCCAATGACTGCTGGAGCTTCAGTGACTGGTTATCGTAGCAGTCACACTGGGGTGAATTTGTACTGAAATCTCAAGAGAACACCTAGGAGTCACCTCTTCTCTGTTCCTTTCATCTTCATCCCTCTCCACCCCGTACTATCTCCTCCTCACTCTGCTCTTATGTGTGATGTCTTTTTTCAACCTCCCCCACTCCCGCAGGAACTGATGAAAATCCAAAAGGAAAAACCCGCCAATTCATCAGCCACATAAAATGCAGGGAGTCTCTGAGGCTGGAGCGTAACAAAGACTACTTGATCTGGGGACTCAGCACCGACTTGTGGCGCAGGAAAGCTGAGTAAGTAGCCTCCTGTGGTTACCCTGCGTTAGTCAGTTTCAAGCAGACAGGCCCTTAACTAATTACCCATCTATTTTAGGTACCTATCAGGCCCCCATTACTGTACTTTCTGAGAGCCTCACAATATTGAATATATTTATTCTCACTATGGGAGGCAGGGCAGCGTTATTACCTTCTTTTAAAAGATGGGTAAACTGAGGCACAGACAGCCTAAGGTCCAGGTCCTCAAAGGTATTGAGGCACCTAACTCCCACTGACTGGCCTTAGGTGACCTCTCCAAAGTACCAAAATGAAGTTTCTAGAGTTGCTGGGAATTGAATCCAGGTTCGCCTCGTAGTCTAACCCTGGACCACCATTCCTCGCAGGGGCTACTCAACTATTTCACCAGCACAAATCACATTGTCAGGGCAATTTCATGGTCCCTGCATCCAGCCACAGTTGTTCTTAAATCACTTAGGTTTAAACTGGGTGGAAATATAAATAATTAGGGTAGAAACTGCACCTAAAAATGAGCTTCCCCAACAAAGATGCAGCTCACAGAGTGCTGTATCTGGAGCATTGCATGCTGGAATCTGTAGTCTCTGGGCAGGACCTATGAGAGGGGAGGCAACCCACTGTTTCTCTGGAAGTCAGATGTGGCCCTTAGGCATAGGTGGAGTGTGAACTGCCTGTTTGAAGGAGGCTAGACCCCGGCCCTGCCCGTTCTCCACAGAATATCAGGGTTGGAAGGGACCTCAGGAGATCATCTAGTCCAAGCCCCTGCTCAAAGCAGGGCCAATCCCCAGGTAGATTTTTGCCCCAGATCCCTAAATGGCCCCCTCAAGGACTGAATTCAGAACCCTGGGTTTTGCAGGCCAATGCTCAAACCACTGAGCTATCCCTCCCTCCTGCTGGAGCCCCAAGCCTACCACCGCGGCTGCCAGCCCCCCTGCCCCAGCCCTGGGCCACTCTGGCCGGCCAACCTGAGCGCCCCCAGGCCTGAAGCATTGGGTGCCGCAGCCCCAGCGTCCCCAGCCCCGGAGCACCAGGTGCTGTGGCCCCAGTGCCCCCTGCCCAGGAGCGCCGTGTGCTGTGGCCTCAGCGCCTCAAGCGCCACCAGCCCTGGAGCGTCAGGGAGCACCAGCGCCAGGGAGGCCCCAGCACCAGGGGCACCCAACCGCCTCAAGTCCCAAGCCACAGGCCAGCCCGTGCTAGCCCCAGCCCCAGCCCCAGCCCCCTTGGGGAAGAGGAGCAGCCTGCATGGGCTGTGGCTGGGGGGAAGCGGCGAGAAGCAGGATGGGGTTCGGGATGGAGAATGAGTGGGGCCACACCTGGCTGTTTGAGGAGACTCAGCCTCCCCTGGCCAGCCATACCCGCTGCCCATGCTCTTAGGCAAACCCGGCTGCCCCTAAGGAACTGAGCAAACAAGTTGGACAAATTTGTTGCTTCATTGCTCACCCTTCTGCCTGTCCGTCCCAGGCTATCCTACATCATTGGCAAGGACACCTGGATCGAGAAGTGGCCCAACGAGGACGAATGCCAGGAGCCGGATTTCCAGAGCCTCTGCCAGGAATTCCTTGAGTTCTCTGAAGCCATGACCATGTTTGGCTGCCCAACCTAAACTTGGACCCAGCTTTCCCAGCAGCTCCAAGGGGACAGTTTGAGCTGAGATGGAGAATAACACTCAGGTGGAGACATCTCCACTCAGAGTCCCAATGCTGCTGACACTCGCCACTAGCCCTGTCCTCTTTGGGGGTTTTGCTCTCTTTTCTTCTTATTGTTTCTATATATATATAAAAGGCTGATTTCTTACCCTGGCCTGCTGTGTGACTTTTTACCAATCTTTACATGGTCTGCAATATATCTTTATAAGTAACCAGCTACTAGGATCATGGGTGCATGAGAAACACCTTACATTAGATTAGGATGGACAAGCATGAATGGGTGGCTAGATAGGTACGCATGGATGGATATTTGGGAGCGAATCTTCTGTACCTATGTGTGCCTAGAGTGACCACACAACCCATTTTGGCTGGGACAGTCCCTTTTCTCAGCTCTGTCCCGCTTGGCACCATGGAGGTACACAGACACTCTCCACCAAAATCCACAGCACCACCAGATGCCCCGGCCGAACAGAATTCTGAGGAGGCGGAAGTAATCTTAGATCAGGAGGCAGCTCCTGCTACCTATAACTCCTTCTCGCCAGAGGAGAATGTTATGCCCTCTTCACCCACTGCTGGGGATGAGCTCAGGAACTTCCAGGATCTCTTCAAACAAATTGCTGACATGCTCCAGGTAACCTTAGAGGAAGTCTCTCTTGGACCCACTCCACACGGCCACCTCCTCCCAGATTGCCCTCCTGATTAACTCAGCACTCATGGAACCTGCCGAGAACATATGGCTGATCCCCGCTATCATCCATGCTTTAACCCACGGGTTGAGAACTACTGTGTTAAAGGCTCATTAGAGGAGTGGTCCCCCCATTAGAGGACAAGCCCCGCTAGGGGTGTGTGGAGGAACATTTGGTGGGGGGGCGTATGGCAGGGAGCACCACCCAGCCCCACCCACCACCTGGGGCCAAGAGGGAGCACGACCCAGTCCCACTCTGCCCCCACACCAGCTCCGCCCCCATTTGCAGCTCCACTCAGTAGTGGGTGCTCTTTGCAGTCAGCGCTGACCCCATGGTCCCAGCATGGTGCTAGGAAGCAGCGGAGGTGACTCAGTAGTGGGTGTTCTCCTCAAGGGGGCGCTGTGCTGCTCAGTATGCCAGGCTTGAGCAAGAAAGCCGAAATCGATCAGCCTGGCCATGCTGTAGTATTTACAGATACCGTGCCACTATGACAAGAGTCCGGATGTTTGCTCCAGTGTCCACTTTGGTACCATTTTATCTCCCTCACTTCCCCCTGCAGTTCCTTTTGCATATGGAATTAGTCTTCACTTACTGTCCTAAACAGCTGTTTTTACAGTTTGTAAAAAGCTGCCAGCTTCCTTCCCAGAGGTATCCGCAGAGATTTACCGGGAGTTTGTCCCCTATATGATCCTGCCCCTTTCAGACGAAGCTGCAAGAGTCCAGGCCTTTCACATCCGATTCAACCCCGGTCTCCTAGTCAGCTCGTATTGTGGGAGGGGATGAAAGGCTCTGATCATAGAATCTCAGGGTTGGAAGGGACCTCAGAAGGTCATCTAGTCCAACCTCCTGCTCAAAGCAGGACCAATCCCCAGACAGATTTTTGCGTCAGATCCCTAAATGGCCCTCCCAAGGATTAAACTCACAATCCTGAGTTTAGCAGGCCAGTGTTCAAACCATTGAGCTATCCCTCCCCCCCGTGCTTATTGAGATCTGAAGCGTCTGCAGTTAATCTTTGTGCCATGCCCAGATACCACAGGGATGGACACCAAATAAATTCTTGGAGTAACAACAAGAATGAAACCAACTTCACAGCTATGAAGCTCCACTCTTTTCCCAGGTGGCTAAACTGAGGCACGGAAAGCTCATGTGACTCACTCACAACAGGGCAATGATAGAATTAGGAGTGCTAGAACCCAGGAGTCATGATTCCTGGTCATTGGAAAATATTCCCAAGCTGTATAAGATTGGTCAGTATTTAGAGGAACTATGTAGTAGACATGAGTAAGACAAGCTGAAACGCAAGAACCTGTAGACTGAGGACTGCAAGACTTTAGCTATTTTAGGCCTTGGAGACAAGAAATGATGGCGCAAGTCCATGACCGAGAAATAACCCAAAAACTTATGGGAAAGAGGTACCAACTGGTAATATTGTGAAAGTATAAGGTCTTAAATTTAAATAATAAATGCTGTAACAACAGATATTGTCTCTAACACATGCCTTAACCACAAGATGAAGGTGGTACACCAACGTTAATGAGAACATACACAGCCTATAGAATTTGGGGTCTTGTTGGGTATGGACTGTTGTATTGTTCTCTGGTTCATTACACACGGTTAATTAAATTATGTGCGGGTATCAAACCCAATGATCAGTGATTTGAAGGACACTGTGGCAATCCAAGATGGAGCCTGAAAACTGTCATCTTGTGACTCCATCTTGTGACCTTCTGTCCACTGCCAGCCTGGTCTGGATAAAACTGGACTGAACCGGTTTTTCCCGCCACTGGGAGATCCCCAAGATTCCATCACCTCAGACAGTTTCCCGCCTTTCTGCGGCTCGTACCATGTTTTCCCGTCGTAGAGTCTGTAACAGAGCTGGGGTCACAGGCTGATGGGGCAGTCCATCGCAGCGACCGTGTGTGCGGTTTCGGGTCTTTGTGGCACTCGTGCGTCAGCGAAGAACACCCTTCGTGCCCGGAATGAAAGGACAAGAAGACGACACGTTACCATCTTACCCGTCCTGCGCCGGGGGAACGTCGCCCTCCAGAGGGTTCCTGGTCCGCGTCTTCCGCCCTGACGTCCACCGAGGGACTCCCCAGTGCTCCTCCTCCAAGGGTTTCAATTACCCACGGAGTAGAGGTCCTGGGCGTCACCCCGCCAGGGAAGTGCTGGGAACGGAGTGAGAAAGCAATGAGGGTTTCTGCCTTGGGGGTCAGGTTTCCTGAATGCCAGGTGGGTTTAGTTTCATTCTTGGGCCCGAGCCTCACGCCGGCAGGGCAGAGCTGCTGTGTCACTGGGCTGGTTTGTTATTTACATTTACCCCTTCGCTGTCTGTGTAATTCTCTCCCCCCAGACATTTACCTCTGTGTTCTGACCCTTCTCTCTTGTCAGTTCGATTGGTTGTGCCCCACACCAGGGGAGAGGGGAGGAGATCTGCACCAGGCCGCCGCAGAGGGCAAATCTGCTCCTTTGAGAAACAGGGGCTTGTTTCTATGCCGATACCTACAGCACTTTCCACCAGGCCGGCTTTAGGCCAATTCCACCAATTCCCCCGAATCGGGCCCCGCGCCTAAGAGGGCCCCGCACCCAGTGGCAGAGCCGCTGGTGTGGGGGCAAGTGGCCGAGAATCCCTTCCCTGGCTAGAGGCTCCTTTTTAATTTTTACTCACCCAGCAGCGCTCCGGATCTTCAGCGGCACTTCGGCAGCAGGTCCTTCACTTGCTCTGTGTCTTCGGCAGCACTTCAGCGGCAGGTCCTTCAGTGCCACCGAAGACCCGGAGCGAGTGAAGGACCCACCGCCGAAGACTAGGAGCGCCGCCCGGTGAGTACAAGCCCCACGTGTTTGTTTACGTGGTTTTTTTTTTTAGTTCATCCCTGCTGGGGCCCCGTCAAAACTGTTCGAATCGGGCCCCGCACTTCCTAAAGCCGGCCCTGCTTTCCACATTCAGAGTTATGTTGGCTCCCCTTTGAGATAACAGTCCCTTGTGTTTCCAGGGGACACAGACCAGTAAGAAAGACCGGGGTGACACTTCCATGTACATGCGCAGATGTAGGTATAGACAGACTCACAGAAGAAGAAGGGGTGCCCAGAGCAGGAAAATTGAGCTTCCTATGGGAAACTCCCGCAGGAACCACACCCGTATCGATCCATCCATGAGCCAGCCAACAGACCTTAACACCGTCTAGGAGGATGTGAGTATGTCGGTAGGTATAACTGGTACGTGGTACTTATCTCTAGGAATTGTATATGCTGTGACATTTATAACTTTGTTGGTAACTTTAATAACACTACTAAAAGACAGACGCTCTTGTAATTGTCGGTGTTATTTACCTGTGGTAACACGTGTTCCTATGAACTCTAGATCCAGAACAAACAGAGATAACTCTGTTGAACTTGAGACTGAAGCCAATAGAGCTGATCCCACTGAAGTAGGATTAACATTAAATAGAACAAAAGGCCCCATCTCCCTAGAAATTCCCCTCTCTCCACATTCCTGCTGCTCTAAGCTCTTTACAGGGCAATCAGCTTAGTAATTAGGGTTGTCTGGCCCCAGGCCTCTAGCCCTTCACAGGCCAGCCACCCACAAGCCCCATCCCACATTCAGAGTCAAAACTGAGAGCATGCGGCCAGTGTTGCCAACTCTCATGATTTGACTGCACGGCTCGGAAGATTTGGTGTTTCCCTTAAACCGCCAGCTTCTCCAAATCCTGTGAATGTGTGAGGATCTCGGCTTTTGTTGACATCAAATGGAAGTTTCTAGCACTGCTGATTGGGGACGAAAGCTTGAAAATGTGGCCTGAGCAGGACCCTAAAAGGCTCAGAAACCCAAAGATAAATAAAAAGAACCTCCAGCTTGTTGTTTTTATAAAAATCTTGTGAGTGTCCAACCAATCCCGTGATTTTGGGGGCCTGACTCATCTTTGGAAGGCTTGGCGTTGGCACTGCTGTGCCATGTCCAAAGACCAGACTTTTCTGCAGTGACTCAGCACCTTTATAAGGGGTCTTGGGTTTTAGAGCACCCGCCCCTCTGAAAATCAGGCCTTGAAAGCGCGTCAAGTTGGGCGCTTAAAATCTGCAGGCCCCCAACTCCCTATTGCAAATCTTGGCCAGGGTCTCTTCAGGGAAATGCCCCATTCCCACAAATATGTAAGGGGTCCCCTTACTAAAACTCAGTGGGGGTGTTTTGGTTGGCTAGCTCCCAGTAGCAAAAGAAAGGGGAAGGGTCGATGAGAAATCAGGACCCTGAGACTGACAGTCCCCAGCAACAATGGGGAGAGGCCAATGCCCCAGGTCAGCCTAATTGACAGGGCAGGCAGGCTAATCAGGGAGTCAGGAGGCCGGAATTGTCCTCTGTGTTAGCTGGAATTGCCCGGGTCAGTCAGCATGCGGCCGAGCTAAGGAGAAAGCAGGAGTCCAAGCTGAGCTGGGGGGAGCGAGGGGGACCCTGGGCAGCGGGCCCGGTGCAGTGAGATGCCCCCAGCCAAGGCGCCCTGCAAGCCAGACTTTGAGGGGGATCATAACCCCGACGGGGCAGGGGCGACGCTGGGAAGAAGGGTCCTGCCACCTAGAGCCTGAGGGCTTGTGGCCACCGCCAGAGCAAGTGTCCAACCCACAGCATCCCTGCAGCACAGCCAGGGCCTGAGAAGGGGCCTGGGACTTGTGAGGAACAGACTGAACGTCCCTGACATCCCAGAGACCCTGGCTGTGATGTCCCTGTGCCACCGAGCAGGGTGACGGGCTTTCCTTTAACCTTTTCCATGTTTTCCTTATTTTTAAAATTGATTGTTTAGTAAATTGTATTTGCTTTGAACTGTATGTAATGATCAGTGGGTAGCTCATTCACTTTGGTCCCCACTTGACACCCAGCTCTCACCTGTGGCTCCAAATAGCTGTCAGCATGCGACAGTGGCCACACCCCGGAGACCGTCTCGGCTGGCGGGCTAAACCAGGTGAGGGTAGCCGATGAGTATGAGACTCTCAGTGAGTCAGGGCCTGTCTACCCATTGCATGCGAAGGCTGGATCCGGCTGACTGAGGCAACCTGGTTCAATGGTCAGGAAGGCGGTGACAGCAAGCCTTGTGGAACGCTTAAGAGCACGACAAGACACGTAGGTGTCCTGGTCATCCACTGCGCCCTGCCCTATCTCCAGCCGTCTCGACTTCTGTCCTGCCACTGGATACAGATAGGAACTGGGAAGAGAGAGTGAGGCTGACGTCGCGCAACTCTCCCTCACTTTAATCCAATTCACGCGCAAGTCTCGACATCATATTACCTCATATCAAGTCCTGTGGCGATGGGCGAGTGACGAAGCAGCAGGTGTGGATACACTGGGAGCTGTAGCCGCGGACCTGCACATAGGCGGCTCAGGCATAATGGTCGTTCCTCACTGACCGAAGCCGCAGTGGAGCTCGGCATCTTCTTGAGCGACTGAGCAGCCCTATTCAGGATTGCACTGCTCACCTCCGTAGAATGAGGAGGGGGCTAGAAAAGGGGCCCTAAACATTGCCTGCTTCACCTTACCCTGGCCAGCATACCACGGCTGGTGGGGATCCCACAAAAGCGGTCGAACAAAAACAAAAACAAAGTGACACCAATTTAGAGTGACACCAATCACTATTGGCACATGGAATGTGCACACGTTACTGGACAACATCACGGCAGACAGACCGGAGAGAAGAACAGCACTTGTCGCTAGAGAGCTCGCGCGCTACGACATTGACATTGCAGCCCTTAGCGAAACTCGCCTTGCTAATGAAGGACAGCTGTCCGAGTCAGGCGGTGGCTATACATTCTTCTGGAGTGGCCGCAGCAGTGATGAGCGTCGCGAATCTGGAGTTGGCTTCGCCATCAAGAATCATCTTGTTCGGAAACTTGCCAGTTCCCCCAAGGGTATGAATGACCGGCTCATGACAATGCAGCTTCCGCTTCAAAAAGGAAAACAAGCTACTTTGATCAGCGCATATGCTCCTACAATAACGGACCTAGAGGATGTGAAGGATAAATTCTACGAAGAACTAGATACTCTGCTATCGTCAGTGCACCGCACAGACAAGCTGATTGTGCTTGGCAATTTTAACGCAAGAGTCGGATGTGATGCCGCAGCCTGGGAAGGAGTCATCGGGAAAAATGGAGTGGGAATGGCCTCTTACTGCTGAAAATCTGTGCAGCACATGACCTTCAGATTAGCAATACGGTCTTCCGCCTTTCTACCCGTAACAGGACTTTGTGGATGCATCCCTGTTCCAAGCACTGGCATTTGATCGATTATGTCATCATCAGGAGAAGGGACAGACAAGATGTCAGGATTACAAAAGCTAAGTGTGGCGCTGACTGTTGGACGGATCATAGGCTCATAGTATCCAAAATGAAGCTCCGTATCATGCCGAAGAGACGACCACAAGGCTGTAAGGCTTTCAAAAGGATCAACGTGTCGAAGCTGAAGAACAGCTGCATCACTGAAAATCTAGCGGAAGACCTAGAGAATGAGCTTGCTGATCTTCGTATTGAGGACGACGCTGAGAAAGACTGGGAGCGATTCCGCAACACTGTCCATACAGCTGCATCGAAGGTATTGGGGCCCTCCACATGCAGGCGGCAAGACTGGTTTGACGAAAATGATGCAGAAATCCAGGCCTTACTTGCTGAGAAGCACCGCCTGCATCGTGCATATCAAAACGATCCATCCTCAGTGGCAAAGAAGACCGCCTTTATCAACACTCGCAGAACAGTACAGAACCAACTGTGCAAAATGCAGGACTTGTGGCTGAGCACCAAAGCAGATGAAATACAGGCATATGCGGACAGGAACGATAAGCGTTTTTATGAAGCCCTCAACACACTCTATGGTCCATAGTCTTCTGGGAGCTTTCCCCTCCTGAACTCTGATGGTACTGTGCTCCTTACAGAGAAGACGCAGATTCTCCAGAGATGGGCTGAACACTTTGAAGCAATTCTCAATCGCCCCTCAGTCATCAATGATGAGGCCATTGACAAGATGCCTCAGGTTGCAGTCAATGACTCCATGGATGCTTCACCAGAAGAGGACGAAGTGAAGCAAGCTATCAATCAGCTGTCAAGTGGCAAAGCCCCAGGGTCAGATGCCATACCAGCAGAGGTGTACAAAGTTGGTGGACCCGTGCTGCTACGGAAATTCACTGAGCTGTTTCAGTCCTTCTGGAAGCAGGGAACCATTCCACAAGAATATAGAGACGTGTCCATCTTGCACCTCTATAAGAGGAAGGGCAATCGCCAGGTATGTGACAATCACTGTGGAATCTCGCTGCTTTCTACAGCGGGGAAAGTTCTTGCACGGGTTCTGTTGAACCGATTGATCACTCACCTGGAGAAGGGCTTACTGCCAGAATCACAGTGTGGCTTCCGCAAGGGACGTGGGACTATTGACATGATCTTTGCTGTGCGTCAGCTACAGGAGAAATGTCAAGAGCAGAATCGTGAACTCTACACAACTTTTGTGGACCTCACAAAAGCATTTGACTCTGTCATTCGTCAGGGCCTGTGGAGGATCATGTCGAAATTTGGCTGTCCAGACAGATTTATACGAATGGTAGGTCAATTTCATTACGGTATGATGGCTCGTGTCCTGGATGACGGTGAAACATCTGAGGCCTTCCCGGTCACGAACGGCGTCAAGCAAGGGTGTGTTTTAGCACCCACTTTGTTCAGCATGATATTCTCTGCCACTTTGACTTATGCCTTTCAACACTGCACTGAAGGAGTAGGCCTGAAGTATAGAACTGACGGGAAACTATTCAATCTGAGGCAACTGTGTGCCATCACCAAGGTGAAGGAAACTGTACTTCAAGACTTTCTCTTTGCCGATGATTGTGCTCTGAATGCTAGTACAGAGCCAGAAATGCAAGCCAGTATGGACAAGTTTTCAACTGCATGCAACAACTTCGGTCTCACTATTAACATCAAGAAGACTGAGGTCATGCACCAGCCAGCTCCCCACGCTCCGTCCTCAGAACCGTCCATCACTGTAAATGGACAGAGACTTCAGACAGTGGACCACTTCACGTACCTGAGCAGTACCCTTTCCCGAGCAGTGTCAATCGATGATGAAGTAAACTGCAGAATTGCTAAAGCCAGCTCTGCATTTGGCCGATTGCGCTCCAACGTTTGGGAACATCGCGGGATCAGCCTGCCAACGAAGCTGAAGGTCTACCGAGCAGTGGTGCTTCCAACTCTGCTGTACGCCTGCGAGACGTGGACTGTCTATCGGAGTCATGCACGAAGGCTCAATGACTTCCACATTTCCTGTCTGCGAAAGCTTCTAAACCACTCCCCCGCTTACACATACACTATGATCTCCACTGATCATTGCGACATGGCTGACAAGCTGAATGCAAACACAGCCAGCAGGTAGACAGCAGATCCTCCCATGGCACTAGAAGATGCCACTTCTCCCAGAAACATCTGCTTTTTGTTTGGATGCCTCTTCTGTTGTGAGCTAACCCCCGGGCAGTGGTCAATATATAATTGCAGAAGCTCCCAGACCCCCAGCACTAACTTGATCTCACTACAGGGGAGGTGAGATGGGTTAGCGTCCCCGCTGCTCAGTCGGGAAGCAGAAGAGGCTACTTTAAGAGGATGATCTTAGTGAATTTCATGCTGGGGGAAGGTACTAGACGAATGGATTGATAGTCTCTATTTATAGCCAGGGGTACAGGACGTCCCTTGGCAATGTGCCTCCACCCCTAATCTAGGAGATAAGGCCCTCTATTGGCAGGATGGGCAATTTCAGTTCTCTGGTCCATTCCACTGCCTACTCGTGCCTGTGGTTTTGTAACGCGGGCGCATTTTAACTAGGTATTGCACAGAGAACTCCCCCCCCCTCAACATTTCAGGTGGCTAAAGCAGGACGCAGCACCACTCAGGTGTTTGGCCCACTCGGCCTCTTTGGACAGAGGTGGATGGGCCAAATGTGAGTGGTGTTATAGCCTAGCACCCGGGCTCACTATGCCACTCACGTTTGGCTCGCTCGCCCCTCCATAGGTGGCGTCAGAGGGCCGGGGAAGCCAAACCTGAGCAGCACTGCAAACCCGTGCACCAGGTCGCAGTGCCACAGAGTTTGGGGGCTCCTCAAACTGGGGGCCCAAAGCAAATGGCCCCTCTGGGCGACCCAGAATGCAGGAAATGTTCACTCCAACCAGGGCAGGGGGGTTGGGGTGTGTGAAAGTGGGACAGTCCCATGAACCCCAGGGCTGTTGGGAGGTCTGGAACACCCGCCCCCCCCATTCCGGAATGACTTTCAGACATTTGGAGGGGAAATGAACCTTTTTAATGACATTCAGCCAAACGACAACCCTCTCAACAACCTGCACGTCCTGCCCGTTCCCTGGCAATGCAGTGAGGGGGAGGGAGCAGAGTCAGGGCTTAGAGAGGCTGGCACAGAGGCAGGGTGGGACAATTGTGCTCTGTACAATCCACAGAGATTGTACTTGCCAAGAGAAACCTGACTGTGCCATAAGGTCTTGTTTACCTTCTACATCAAAGAAGCACCAGGAAGGGGAAGAAAGATGATCTTGTGGTTAAGACACAAAACTAAGGAGTCAGGACTCCTGGGTTCTATTTCCAGCTCCGGGGGGAGAGTGGGATTGAGTGGGTAGAACTGGCCTGTGGTCTATTCTAGCTGAGGGAGGGGAGGGTTATCTAATGGTTAGAGAAGGGAATTGAGGGTCAGGACTTCTGGGTTCTACTCCTAGCTTAGAGAGGGGACTGTGATCTATGGGTTAAAGAAGAGGCTGAGTAGTCAGGGCTCTGGGTTCTACTCCTCGCTACGGGAGTATGGTTTAATGGTTAGAGAAGAAGGGGGCGGGGCAGGACACCTGGTTCTGTTCCTGTCATGAGCTTGCTGTGTAATATTAGCCAAGATGCTCAGAACCAAAATAGCAAAAGCAGCCTTTAATTCTGAATGCCTCTGTTTTTGGGGGTGCCCAGTGTGAGCTATGAAGGCCTGAGTTTTACAGGGGCTCAGCGTCCGCAGAGCCCATTGTCTGCGCGGCCCAGGACACAGCGATCCTACCAGGGAACCTGAGAAACAGCCAACCCTGGGAAAGGAAGCTGGCCTCGGAAGCCTGGTACACCTCTAGCCCGATATAATGAGGTCCTCAGGAACCAAAAAATCTTACCACGTTATAGGTGAAACCATGTTATATTGAACTTGCTTTGGCCCCGCCAAACAGCCTGGCCCCGCCCCCTGTCCGACCCCCACCTACTTCCCGCCCCCCGACTGACACCTCGGAACCCCCAACCCATCCAACCCCCCCAGCTCCTTGTCCCTTGACTACCCCCTCCAGAGAGCCCCTGCCCCTAATCACCCCCAGGATTCCCACGCCCTATCCAATGCCCCCGTTCCCCATCCCCTGACCTCCCCGCCCCCAAAACCTCCGAATCATCCAACTCCCCCTGCTCCCTGTCCCCTGACCTCCCCCCCCAGACCCTCTGCCCCTTATCCAACCTCTCAGCCTCGGCCCGGCACCCTTAACACGCTACTCAGAGCAGCATGTGAGAGCCAGACATGCTGACGCATTGATCCACCGGTGTGCGCAGCCCCGCCCTCCAGAGAGCTGCTTTACCACGTTATATCCGAATTCGTGTTATATTGGGTCGCGTTATACTGGGGTAGAATATAGTTATTAGTTTGCTAATAAAGTCAGCTTCCAGGAAGAGAGTGCAATTGGCCGTGAGTAATGTGTTTGGACAGGCTGGGGGTGCCATCTGCTCACAGGTTCCCAGAATACTCCTCACCAAAGCGATGAACCTCAGATTTGGAGAAATCTCTGAATACGTTTGAGAATAAAAATTCCTCTGTTTCCCATCAATCCTGGGTAAATAGTGAAGAAATCAAGGATTGTGTGGGATTGACAGGAACTGGCACGCAAGAGCTGACATGGATTCAGGGATGGGAGGGTATCTGGGGGAGAGTGGGGGAAGTGCCTCATACCTTCCAGTGTAGCAACATGTTGGAATTTCCTTGTAATCTCTGTGGACATGAGGTGCGGGGCATGCCGGCCTCTTAGGAAACCCCAGAAAAAGAAAACTCAGTAGTTGCCTCTTCTGTATCTTAAATGGGTAGGGGGTGGGGTAGGTTAGAGCAAAAGGGCTGGGCGTCAGGATTCCTGGGTTCTGTTCCAGCTCTGGCAGGGGAGTTGTGTCTAGTGGTCAGGAGCGGCGCCAGGGTTTTTGGCGCCCTAGGCGGGGGTCCTTCCGCGCTCCTGGTTGTCATCAGCAATTCTGCGGTGGGGGGGTCCTTCCGCACTCGGTCTTCGGGGCACTTCGGCGGCGGGTCCCGGAGCGAGTGAAGGACCCGCTGCAGAATTGCCGCCGAAGACCCGGAGCGCGGAAGGACCCCCCCGCCGCCGAATTGCTGCCCCCCCAAATCCTGGTACCCTAGGTGACCGCCTAGGTCACCTAAATGGAAGTGCCGGTCCTGCTAGTGGTTAGAGCGGTGTGTATACTGGGACTCAGGACTCCTGGGTTCTATCTCCAGCACTGGGAGGAGAGTGGGGTCTCATGGTTAGAGTGGTGTTGTGATAAATTAAGAGGGGTGGGGGTAGCTCCCTTTTATGGACAGCCAGTAGCTATAAAATCCCTCTTTGTAGCTGTTCTCTAATTGCTCTACCTGTAAAGGGTTAATAAGTCTCACTGCTATGCATAGGTAAAAGGAAGTGAGTGGGAACCTGGCCAAGAGAGCCAGTGGGAAGGCTAGAACTTTTTAAAATTGGAACGACTCCCTGTCTGTCTGTTCTGTTGTTGTTCTCCTGGGGAGAGGCAGACAGGGCAGAGCTATGCAGTAAGACACTTGGGCCAGGTATGAAAAATCATTAGTAT